TGTATTTAACCGCCTCCCGTCCAGCGGCCATACCTAAATGGCCAGACGGGAGCCTTGTAGATGTGATGGGTGTTTTGAGAAGTTCTTCCCCTGTAAACAGCCGGCGATGGAGACGCCCAATCGCTTGTATTTTGTGTGGGTGTGCGCCCTCCCCCCCGCGTGTTGCCGCCAGTCCTGAGATTCACAGTGCCCGGTACGGGCCGGGATCGACACGGCGGCCCTGTCACCAGAGATCAGAGGGAGATCAGTACATGATCTCGCTCTGATTTCCTCTCTGGTGTCAGAATGCAGGAAGTGATATATATTACATCACTTCCGTATTCCAGCTGTCACTCTCTGACTACAGAAGCTGGGGAGAAGCTGGTGAAGCAGATCTCTGCATCAGCTTCTTTGGAGGTCCCTTGGTGACATTAGGAGTCTTGGAGACCCCTGATGTCTCCATAAAGAGGACCTGTCATGTAAATTGGCTATCACTTATGTGATAGCAATAATGTGTAAAAAAAAAAGTTAGAAAATTAAACAAGCATAAAAAAATAAAATCACATATAAATAAAATAAAATAAAAAATGAAAAGTCCCCGCCCCCACATACATACAAAAACATGCGACTGGTGCGCAAATGTGCAAAAATTACGATTGCGCCCATCGTGCCGCACATGTTACATATCACCGTGAACTTCAGATCATGAGCAATATTTCTGGGGCCATTAATCAGTGATAACACTAAACTGATGAGCAGTAAAAGCTTTTAAATCGTCTCCTATGGCCAATTTTGGGTGTGGTCGTTTTTTGCAATTTTGCGGGCGTGTGCAATGTTAGGGGCTTGACATGTTTGGTGTCTATTTAGCTGATGTTTGTTAAAGATGTCACCAGCACACCATATTGAAGTGAAGAACACATCTGTTTATTATATGTAATTTCAAGCCTGATGAAGGGGACCCAAAAAATTGTATAAAATCAATTTGAGCACAGCGTTGCATGACTGAATAAACATCAAAGTACTGCAGCGCTGAATACTGAAAAATGGCCTGGCCAGGAAGGGGGTTTAATACCTGGTCTTCAAGTGGTTAACTAAAGATGAAAGCATGGAATAATTTTGTTTTACAAAATTAAATCCAAATGCTTGATTCATTTAAGACGTTTCCTTTTGCAGATAGAAAGCCAAACACACTGGTAGCTTTCTCTATGCAATGGAAGTTAAATATTGTTTAGAAAGTTCTTCCCAACTCCGCTGCAGAAGAAATGTGTTGCATTCGTAGGTTGAGCTGCTTTCGCCCTTATGTCCAGTTTATCTCAAAGCAGCTTTGGGGGCTTTAGGTCTGGAGAGTAATCTGGTCAGTCCATGATTTGAAGCCTATTGTCCTGTTCTTTTCTTCTAAAGTACAATGGTTCTGATATACCTTGGAGGTATCTTTTGGGTCATTATCATGCTGTAGCATGTACCCTTGACCAACTAGGCATAGAGGGTATAGTGCTGCAAAATGCTGTGGTAGGCCTTAAAGTTCAACATGGCAGTGACTTTGTACACTTCTCCATATTTGGCAGTTGGTGTCACATACCAAGGAACCATCTTCAAGATCCAGAAAAACCCGGTGTTATGAATCCAGTATTTCCAAATTTTGATACAAAGGTCCTTAAGACTTTCTTCAACTCATCCACTGTGTGTGTCTCCTGGTCCAGGCACGCCTCTTTTCCTTTTCTGCCATTTTAGCAATGGCTTTCTCACTGCCACTTGACTTGTCCAACCTTGAGCTCAAAGTCTTCTCTTCTGTGCTTGAAGCTGTTGCACTGTTAAGCAGCATGCCACTATCTGAGCTTGTTCTTTAGACTTTTGACCAATGAACTGTATAGTGTAACAGCATCTCTGTATATAAAACCAACATAATGTTACCACCTGTAGTCAAATTCCTCTTTATCTAGGATATGTGATCTAAATACTGTATATACACAATCCTGGGGCTATTTGGGCACATTAGGACATTTTAAACCTTTTTTGCCCAGAACTATATACCTTATGCAATAAGGACAATTATGGGACCTGACTATTATTCATCTAGCAAGGATGGTAGATACAGTTGTATGATTACCACCAATGTTAGCAAGTATGCAGTCTCTTGTGTGATCCTCAAGTTATAACTGCGCAGCAAACATATGAATCTTTACAAATGTCTTTTTTTAAAAAGGTCATCAGATCCAATGAAGATCCAGTTGCTAGAAATACTGGTCATGTAGCTCAGTCTGCATGAGTACCTGCTATAGACAGGCAGATCTTCTAGCCAACTGTAAGATCTACCAATCCTTATAATGACCATTCAGTGTCTGGTAATACAGTGCCTCTGGAAACAATATATGTACTGTAAATCTAATTAAAGGACTGGGTGAAAAAGTGAATGATTTTTGCTGTTTGTGCTCTCTGCATGTCCAGTGCACTATACAGATTCTGGTAATGATCCTCAAATTGGTTGCTTTGCTAAGAAGAATCAAGAGACTCTACAGTCAGCTTAAGAAATATCCTCATGTTTAGATCTCTATATTTGTACTATTTACATGTTGTTTGCATTACCGTAATTGTTGTTGTACATTGTGTTTATAGTATCACTCATTATTATTATTGCCTTCAAAGCATTTACAGTAATACCTTGGTTTACGAGCATAATTTGTTCCGGAAGCATGCTTGTAATCCAAAGCGCTTGTATATCAAAGCGAATTTCCCCATAGGAAATAATGGAAATTCAGATGATTCGTTCCACAACCCAAAAATATTCATATAAAATGATTACAATACTGTACTGTAATATAATAACGTATAAAATATAAAGAAAAATTAACCAATTACTGGTACCTTTTGTGGCCGGTGTGAGAGGGACAAGAGAGAGGAGGATTATTGCGGAGGACGACTTTCACTATCAGTAACGGAATCACTGCTATCTCTTGACTCAATGGAATCTTTTTCATTTCGTGAAACCTTAACAAGGAATCTATCCAATGTGACATTGCATTGTCGTTAAACAGACTCATCGCTCGCACTGCTACAGGCTTATTGAGGTGGTGCTTTTCTACAAAATTTTGCTCTTCTTGCAAGACATTTGCTTGTATATCAAAGCAAAATTTTTCAGAAATGTTTGCTTGTCTTGCAAAACGCTCTCAAACCAAGTTACTTGTAAACCAAAGTATTACTGTAGTGGCAAAGTTAGCTTTGGTACATGTCCAGTCAGTAAATATATGTGAACATGCCAGCACAGAATCTTTTGTGAAATGTATATTACTATATTTCAAAATGTTTAACTTAAAAATATTTTCATGTACCCATGCAATTTGTTACATGAAGCTGGAGTAGATCTTGATGGTGCTATTTTTTATACATTTCTACAGATTACACCCTGTAATGTCCCCTGCTTTAATGTAAGTGCTTCCCTTGGAGACACACAAGTCTACACAGAAGGTGTGTATAATGCATGGGAGTCCTATTTATCACTGGATTTGTGGATTCTAATATGCTCATTTGTCAGCTGGGTGTATTCATTTCCTCTTCCTCATCTTAGCAAATAGACTCCCAGAGCAATAATACAATACAAATAAGTAAATGGCTAAGCACAGCATTAGGGAAGAAGCCAGATGTCTGCTTTAGAACATTATTGCTTGTCAGCTTTGCTTAAGCTTATTACTGGGGATTGATTTTTGAACTTTTTTATCACTAACATTTATGCTTGAAGGATGATTTTGTTAATGTTTTTTTTCTTTTATTTAGGCTTGTGCTATATTGAGGGCATACATAGTCTGGCAATAATGTCCTCTTCTTTTAAAAATGCCAGTTCTCTGGCAGTCATGCTGATCCAATGGCTTTTTATTGCCTAAGCCACTACAGAGAGCAAGTATGTAGACTAGGAGTTTTGACTTTTTATAGGAGAAATTCCTGTTTTCACAAAAATTGAAAAAATTTACTGACAGCAAACCCCCAGTCTTTGTTGAACTTAGCTACCGTAACACCCATCTCCACCCATGCCACCGCAGAATCGGTCCAGGCACTTTAAAACTTCAAAGCACAGCCACAGAGCTTGTGTAGCAACATCATTCTTGCAATGGCGAATTACCACATGACCACTCAGACTAATGAAAATCCCTTCTGAGTCTTCTTCCAGGATGGGGTCATGGAAGGGATTCTCATTGATCAGTGTGATCACGTGGCCATGCTGACCAATGACTGTTCACCATTGCAAGCATTATGTTGCATTGGTCCAGCTGGAGGCTGGCAAGAATGGAGATGAGGGGGACTGGTGGTGAGGGTGTTGTCAGTTAGTTCACCTTCTCATTTTTTGTGAAAAGGTGCACTTATCCTATAATATAAAGCCTTGTACTGGGTCAGTGAGTTATAAAGTGTTGCAGCTAGAGGAAGTTGGGAAACTGGCATTCTCAGAAGTGGGTCAGCAAAGGCAACATCTATATCCATCTATATCAGTACAGGTTTCCTTTTACTGCCTCAAGGTTGGCTCAGTGTTCCAGAGTACATGTTAGATGTGGCATTTAGTATCCAAAGAAATGTAATTTTGAAATAAAAGCTTGCTGATTTAAATGTACCGCTAAAAACATGTAGACTACAGTTTTGATCTCCTTCTAAATGAAAATGCTTCCACGCTGTCTCTGGTTTCCATCTTTTGAGGCCCTGACTCTGAATATATAATACATAGCAGGTTAAGTCAGAATGAAGTTAGAATGCCTAATTTGCAAGGATAGGTCATTTCAGTGAAGTTAAAAAAGAAACCCGATGCCATTGCATTAGCATAAAATCCAGCATTTTTTTAAGATAGTTCAGCAATTGCTCCCTTAGTACCGCATGGTCCCTTAGTACAGGCTTTCTTTACAGTTGCATTCCTGGGAACTAAAAAAAACTACCCTTGTAGTAGGGCTTCCCCACACTGCAAGGGTTATAGGTTCATTTCTGCCTAGGGTACCATTAATACGCACTTTTAATTACCTTATCCCTTGCTCCATTGGCAGCCAGCAATGCTCTTCTCTGATGCTCTGGGCTGTGGATGGGCCCTAGGCACCCTCGTTTACAATGCAGGACTGCTGGTCCAGCATGGTACGTGATAACATCAGAGCGCGACCGACGGACAGAGAGCCGAATAGAAGCAGCTTGGGGGAAAAAGGGGGGGGGGGGGGGGGGGACCAGGCGCACAAAGAGCAGGCGCCTGCAGGAGAAAGAGATAAGATCAGTAAAAGTGCTTTTCAATGATACACTAGACAAAAATGAGCATTTAACCTTTGCAGTGCGCGGGGGGGAACCACAATGCAAGGGGAGTTTTTTTTCTACTTCCGCTGAGTTTAGGTTTAGGGATTTATGTCTATCATGTATGCTAATTTGAATCAATTACAACTTGCAAAACAGATTAGACATGCATCAGATCCCTAATGAGATTAGTCCTTGCTGAGTGTGCCAGTGTCTGGAGTAATGTAAAAAATGTATTACAAAAATCCCCCTGGGTGCTTAATAATTTATCTGTAGTGTTTAGATACAAAGCAGTGTTTAGGGCACATGTTCTATTTATATGCAGCGTATGCAGAAGCGACAGAAATCTAAACAAAGGGCACCAAATGTATAAGTGCAGTTGGCATTGTTTAAGTCTGGAATGGTTTGAATGGAGGCACTGGGTTTCTAGATGAGAGAGGTTTCAGAATTGGGCGGGATATGCGCAAAATGTAAGAAAAGAAACATACTTTTGAGGGCTTAGGTCTGCTCTCAATATTTAATACAATCTTACAAATGGCTATAACATATTTAAATTACCGTATTTTTCCGTCTATAAGACGCCATGTATAAGACGCCCCCAACTTTTCTTACCCAAAATTCAGAAATCAATATTTTAAATGATATTATGCATCACACTTACCTCTGAGCCAATCACTTTATTCAGCCTCTGTTGCATCACTGATTTCTTCATCACTTTTAGCTTCAAACATATCAGTTTCTTCAACTTCTGCTGCATCACTGCTGTCTGCTGAGTCACTGTCTATATATACAAGATCATCCTCAGTTCCGTCCATGGCATTGCTGATTCCACATTTCTTGAAGGACTTCACAATCACCTCTTGTTTGACACCATACCATGAGTTTAGAGAGTTTACAGGTTGTTTTTCACTTTCTGACATTTTTATGGTCACAGAATGCTCCAACATTATCGCTCTGGGCCCTGTCTACACGATCTCCCCAGCAACAGCTCACGTCAGGTTCAAAAGATTTATGACAGGAGGAGAACTGTTATCTTGTCTCTGCAATCCGTGAGGCTAGTTTGCAGTGTTATCAGCACTTTCAAAACCGCGGCCCCCGTGTATAAGACGCACATCTATTTTTAGATAAAGATTTTTATGAAAAAGTAGCGTCTTATACACGGAAAAATACGGTAATGATTAATAAAGGAAACTTTTTTTTATAGAACACACATGGCAACATTAATTTGCTCTCCTTTGATCTTAGAAAATGTAATACATTAATTTTTTTTTCAAATTCAGATAACATTGTTTTCTTTTACAGACTGTGTTATTGAACCAGTGCCTCCTTTTGTGTCCTCTTTTGGGTCACACAATATAACATTAAGATGGAAAGCAGCAAATATATCAGATGTAAGATACATAATTCAAAGTAAATATGTCAACATTCCAGGAGAATGGGAATATACCCAGGTAATGTATCCATCATTCACTGACATGCACGCTGTGGTGTGAACCTATTCTTACAGAAATTTAGGGGTCTATTTATGAACAATGCACAGAGCCATTTGCCCTGTGAATCTATGTGAACATAGATGTGTGTTTTGTGCGAATAGAGGCAAAAATTAATATTCTCATATTTTCTTTTCACATTGAATGCAATGTAATACTGCATTATTGCCACTAGATGGAGGTGAGGGCATATAAAATATATACATATTTCCTATGCTCCTCAGATCCATCTAGTGGCCATTAAGTGGTATTAGATCATGTTTTGCCCCTTATTTACATTGCCCTGTGGCCTGTGTAAAGCTCGACATGCAACTAAACCCTCCTATTCTGCAATAAGCCAGACTGGATGAAATCCTGATGTTTTAAACAAAACAGGGTGGGGTGAAACCGGTAAAAGAACATAGAGACATATCAATCAATATGTAAATCATGTAAATATAGTGTCAGCTTACAAATGCAGAAAGAAGCAAGTCCATTCATACCAGCGAAGTTTGCTCTACACCTAGGTGTGAACCAAGCCTTACAGTGTGTGAAATCAAATGCAAATGCAGTAGGCCAGAAAATAATTCCAGTAACTTAAGCACCTTTAAAATTAGACGAGCTATTAACATTTACCACAGGTCAAGTATTTCCTAAGTAATCAAAGATATGTATACTTTTATAATGTTCATGTATTTTTGTGGATGTACTAAATGGTTTCTATTAGGGATGCACCGATACCACTATCGATATCGGTGCCGATACCGAGTATTTGGGCGAGTACTCGTACTCGCCCAAATGCTCCAATGCCTAGCCCGATGCTTCCTGTATCAGGAAGCCGGGCAGCGCGTCATTACAAGCTGCCCGATTTCCTGATAGGCCGGGAAGCGGCTCCATGCTCTCTCGTCACTTGTGATGAGAGAGCATGGAGCCGACTTCCCGGCCACTCAGGAAGCCGGGCAGCGTGTAATGATGCGGTGCCGGTTTTCCTGATTGGTCGGGAAGCTGGCCAATCAGGAAGCTGGGCACAATGTAATGACGCAGCGCCCGGCATTCTGATTGGACGGGAAGCCGGCTTCATGCTGCCTCGCCATCTATTTTTATTAAAGTTTTATGTGACAAATAACAACATTTAACAACATTTGCACTCACAGCCGTGAGAGCACACATAGAATGCAACAGAACAACCCTGTACAACCCCTTACCAACCACGGGGAGTACTTGTATAAACATCAACATACCCCCCCCTGGAAAAGTGTGTCCCCCCCATCCCCCCTCAATACAAAATCTGTACATTAAATGGCGGAGGTATATACACACTGACCACCGCTAGCTGAGTTGCTTGAATATCAAGTACCACAATTGCAAACCGCCCGCCAGGATCCGTGACAGTATGCAGAACAGTACAAGGCAGTGATTTACTAATGAGCACCGAGGCGCCCCGGGAATACGTGGAATAGGTCGCATGCACCATCCTCTGTATCCAGGGGCGTCTCAGCGCCAACACCTTACTCCCATCTAGATGCGTTTCCTGCAGCATTAGTATATGTGGGTTCAATTGCTTCAGATAGTTAAATACCATGGACTTTTTAAATTTGTTATTGAGACCCCGTACATTCCAGGATGGCACTTTAATGTCATCCAACCCCATCACATCTGCCATTACACATGAATGAATGCCGCTCCTTCTCAGGGTGTGGGTGAGATGTTGGGCGACACACAACCCCCCAGGACCAAAATTTAACCACATAACCCCTCTTCCCTGGATAACATAATAACCTTAACAACAACATAGTCCAGAGAAGTTTAGACTCAAAAACCCCAAAAAACAGTCAGGGATACCCCACCGCAACTAAGGGGTGTATCCTAGGAACATGGACAAGTGTTCAGCAACGATGAAAAAAAGATCAAAAAGAGAAACAAACTCAAAAAGATCGTATGTGTCCAGCTGTAGAGGGAGCGAACCATTGCCCCCACACTGCATGAGAGATGCTGTGAAAGACCGGATAAGACACCTCTATGTCTAGCATATTAAATCCGTGGTAGTGCGTTCAAGACATACCCACCATCCCCCATCCCTGTGATTCCTTAGGTCGTTGACTATACCCCTCCCCCCTCGGGCAATGCAGCATCCGCCCCGGATCAATTAAAAAGCAGGATAAAAGAAAAAAAGAAAAAAGGGGGCAAACTGGAAACAAAAAATAACAACTGTAGAACTTGAGGCCCACACGAAACGTAGCCATCCAGGATAATCAAGAAGCGCTCGGCCACTGGTCGTCGGCCTCATCCCTCCACATCGTAGGCCCGTCCGCCCAGCAATCAGTGCAGGAGTACATAGGCAGGCCGAGCCAATATCTGGATAATCCAAAAGTTTTCTATGCAGACCAGATAGGGTAGGTATCAACAGGAAACTGCCGCTGGTGCAGATTAACTCAGCGCATCCAACCATTCAGCAGCGGATCCAGGCGAATCAAACATGTGAACCGTGCCAGAATGGGGGACCCTAAGTCTACTTGTGTACAGCATGTTGTATTGGATGCCCCTTTCTCTGAGCCGGCGTCTCACCTCCACAAAGGTTCTCCTCCGCTTCTGAATCTCCGCCGAGAAGTCAGGAAATAGGTGGACAGAGGCATTCTCATGGCGAATGTCCGGGCGCGTTCTGGCAGCCGCCAGTATTTTGTCCCGATCCCTGTAGTTGAGAAGGCGCGCCAGAAAAGGTCTCGGCGGTGCCCCCGGGACAGGCTTTCCAGTGGGCACCCTATGCGCCTTTTCCACCACAAAGGTGGGGGGCAGCTCCTCCATGGCCAGCACAGATTTAAAGAAGGCCTCCGCAAATTGAGCAGGCCTCTGGCCCTCCGCTCCCTCAGGCAGGCCCACTATGCGCACATTATTGCGCCGCATTCTATTTTCGGAGTCATCTACCTTTGCCGCCAGCGTTTTCACGGTGCGTTGCAGGTCTTGTATTGCAGTAGCATGCTCCTGTACCGAGTCCTCCACCCCAGACACCCGCGCCTCCGCCTGGGACATCCTGCCCCGAATTTTGTCCAGATCATGTCTGATCAATGTGCACTCCACCGCCAGATGGTCTATTTTGGCTGTGAGGGCGATTTTACAGCCCTCTATGGCCTCCAGGATAGCTGTTGTCTCAGCCCTCTCCTTACTTGTGGTCGGTGGGGAGACAGGCTGCTCCGGAGGGGCCAGCGCCACCTCAGCAGCGTCTGCAGCTACTCCCTCCATGCACAAGGTCCGGCGTGAGCGCTCACAGGGAGCAAGGGATGGCGGCAAGATGGCGGCGGCGGGACACGAGGCCGCACGCTGGGATCTCCTCCAGCCACCTTTCGGAGTATTACCTCGCTTGCCAGACCTAGAGGGCATATCCCCCTGCTCCGGACATCCAACGGAGTTCGGGTGTGAAGAACAGGAACCGAGTCTGCAGGATTAAAGCCGGATGAAGCTCAGTGTGGCGGCGGAGCTCCCTCAGACACGTCCGCTCTGCTTCTCACATCTCGGCCACGCCCCCACACCCTTTACTTTTAAGCTGGACTCTGGGCACAAAAATATTTATTTAAAGGAGAACTATGGGGTTAAGGCTTTTCCCCATAGTTCTCCTTAGGGTAACGGGAGGACACAAACTAGCGCCCTCCTGTCACCTAGCTCGCGGTATACTGAGACGCGGCAGTATACCGCGAGCCGCGGCTCGTGGTATACTGATAGTCCATGGTCCCATCGCACTCCTGACCGCATAAATCCCTTCAAGAATTGGGTGCTGCGGTAGTCAATGGGTGGCAGCCGTAACAATCATGAGCTAGAGGCAGAGCCAGCTGTACCCACCCCGTCCGTTCCGCCAGTCAGCGCTGGCGGATCGGAGCAAGGAGGGGGGAATCCAGCCCCTCCCCTGTCACGGCAGAGAGCCGTGACAGGATCGAGAGGTGAGCGAACGCCGGTATGTGTTCGCTCACCTCCCGATCTACTGAGCCAACCTGTGACAGTCTCATTGCCACAGGTCAGCTAGAACTATGAGGTGAGTGAAAAGTCCTCCTCATAGTTCTCCTTTAAGTATATATTTCTCAATAGCCACTCATTGTTGAAAAACACTTTGTGTGCACCAAATGCCTTTGCAGGTCAAGATATTACCTTGTAAAAGCAGCAGTGACATAATTACTAGGCTGTATATTGCCTGTGCACAGAGCAGAGCTGTTTGAGGTGCCCAGCAGGCCCACACACTAGAGGCTGCCTACAGAAAACTACAGGAGGGGTAGGATACTAGACATGTGCGATTCGTTTTGGAAAGATTCGATTTTCAAGACAAATTTTCATAAATTCGTACATTCGGATGCATCCGCATCTCCAAATGACAGAAATAACGCAAATAAATACGAATGTGTTTAAGTGTGGTTGTTTTAACACTTGAGTCCCCGAGGCCTTTTTCCCTGTAACACCCTTGACTCTTAGGGGTTCCACACCATAACTCTTTTATTTTTTTCCCATCTTTTCTAACATATCATAAGTATTTTTTCTAGGGTTTTCTAGGGATTTAATTTGATGGCAGATTTGAGTAAAAATATTTTTATTTTCTAGGTTTTATTAAACGTAGTGAAAAAATAAAAAAAATATATATTTCACTTTTGCACAATAAGCACAGCCCCAGATATTTACCCCAAAATTTAACCGCCAAAGTCTCATGAATAAAATGATATCACATAAGTGTGAAGTTTATACAACATGGCAAAATGGTAACGCTCAAAATGAATGTTTGCATTTTACTTTTGGAGAATTCCTTTCTCCATTTGATGCTACAAAGCATTGAAAAAAAAAAACCTTTAAGACAGCATTAGGCACCATTAAGTCTTGCCAGAGTGACAAGTCCGTCATATTATCACACATACACATTACTGTGGCTTTTGCAAATCTTGTAGTGAAATGTAATAAATATTATACATGCTGTAGATATAAATATGACAAAACCAACATTTAACATGAAAAGAGCAAATCCAAATGTTGGCAAATAAATGGCAATTTGGGGATAAAAGGGGATGTATGTACCAATAATAACAATGGGTATATTACACAGGGTCAGTTTTGGAAAGATTCGATTTTCAAGACAAATTTTCATAAATTCGTACATTCGGATGCATCCGCATCTCCAAATGACAGAAATAACGCAAATAAATACGAATGTGTTTAAGTGTGGTTGTTTTAACACTTGAGTCCCCGAGGCCTTTTTCCCTGTAACACCCTTGACTCTTAGGGGTTCCACACCATAACTCTTTTATTTTTTTCCCATCTTTTCTAACATATCATAAGTATTTTTTCTAGGGTTTTCTAGGGATTTAATTTGATGGCAGATTTGAGTAAAAATATTTTTATTTTCTAGGTTTTATTAAACGTAGTGAAAAAATAAAAAAAATATATATTTCACTTTTGCACAATAAGCACAGCCCCAGATATTTACCCCAAAATTTAACCGCCAAAGTCTCATGAATAAAATGATATCACATAAGTGTGAAGTTTATACAACATGGCAAAATGGTAACGCTCAAAATGAATGTTTGCATTTTACTTTTGGAGAATTCCTTTCTCCATTTGATGCTACAAAGCATTGAAAAAAAAAAACCTTTAAGACAGCATTAGGCACCATTAAGTCTTGCCAGAGTGACAAGTCCGTCATATTATCACACATACACATTACTGTGGCTTTTGCAAATCTTGTAGTGAAATGTAATAAATATTATACATGCTGTAGATATAAATATGACAAAACCAACATTTAACATGAAAAGAGCAAATCCAAATGTTGGCAAATAAATGGCAATTTGGGGATAAAAGGGGATGTATGTACCAATAATAACAATGGGTATATTACACAGGGTCTACCCTACATTTATGGATGTATTCACATATTCAGCATTTCTGAAACATTAGTAGTTTTTTTGGATGTTTTCCATGTATCTAATGTTTTCCATGCCCTGCATGTATCTAAGTTTCAGTAAAATGCTTTTCCCCTTGTAATACATTTGAAAAATTCAACATGTTTTGTTGTGCGGTTTTGTAATTTTTCTTGTCTTTTGAATACAGCCTATAACAGAAACATCATATACTGTGACTAACCTGCAGCCCTACACTGAGTATTGGTTTAGAGTAATATGGATCATTTGTCAGCTACAGTATTATTCTACAAACAGCCCTGTCTACAGGACACTTCCAGATGGAGGTAGGAAGAAAAATGATAATTAATTAGCGCTCAGTCAGAATTTGTATTTATATTTCTTTATTGTATATATTATATAAATACATTTAGGAATATGGATGAGTAAACTGATCCACAAGAGCCAACATGGATCATGCTGATTTGTAGGTTCTAATTTTTGTGTACAGAGATGCATTCTTTGGCACTGCACCAATTTAAGGTGGTCATTTTCCTACTGACAACTAATTTAAGGTTGTCTGTCTCCACTGACCATTAACATAACACAGCACTTTGCTGACCACCAGTGAAAGGAAGCACTACACTGACCACCAGCATAAATGGGCAAATAAAGTGGGATTACCCCACTGATCTTCACTGTAAGGACAAAACATACCCAGATTTAACGCTAGTAAGAGACCGGGGGAGGGAATAGCAACTTGTATAACAAGAACACCTCTAGGACAGTGAAATCTTGAAGAACCTGTTGTGGAAATGATTATTCTAATAGGTGGCTAATTTGTTTGGATCCCATTAAAATACCTGTCTAATGCTAAAACGTATACAGGTTGGCACCAGCATGACAAGAATATTTGCATAGCAGGAGGCCTGTATGCTTATGGCATTCTTTATGGGCATATCTAAGCATGCGGGTTTAAAATGTAATTTTAAATTTAGATTTTAAGAGAAACTTACAAAATATTTTTAATCTGACATTTATAAAAAATGTATTGTTTAAAAAGAAAACCATGTCAATGCTCCCGACAAGCTCCTAATCCTGCATATAAGATATTCAAGTTCATAAGCCACCAAAGAGGATTGTAGGTGTATGGAAATGCAAAAATAGAAACAGCAGATTCAAAATCTATGCCAGATGGCAAGAGTGCATTAAGTGGACTGCTGACCAAGCATATTTTAGACATTTCACTCTATTTCTATACCTATCATTTTAGTATATAATGTATTTTTACAAATATTAAAGTATATATTGAATTCACCAATCGAATATGTACCTCTGATTTACAGTTCCTTCAACTGCACCACAGATCCAGAATCTTGACAGTTTGAGCTGTGACACAATTGAGGTCAGTTGGCTTCCACCACTTTTCCCAAATGGACTAATCATTGGATATAACTTATATCTTAATACAACGGATGAAGCCCAAAAACACATCTCAGCGGCTGGGAGACAGGACTTCCAGTTTTACAGAACAAAGGCAGCAACAGTCTACAGGTAATGCGCACATGAAATCTGTTTGTAAAATGTAACTCTTTGGTCTACACAAAAGACAATGCTCCGCCGTACATATATCCTTGGACAGCAGTGCAAAGCAAAAGCGCCAGTCTGTAAGTCTGTTTTTCAAAAATTTTATTTTGAATATATGAGTGGGTAATTCAATAAACTATTTCTCTTTCTCACTATCTCTCTGGCTCTCTGTATAGATACAGTGTATGCATGTCCCCAAGCCATGAAAATTATGGTAATTAAAGTGTAACTTTACTCTAGTTTAATGTAACCAGACATTTTACATTAAAAAATTTGCATAAGCATTAAATCAGCTATATAACCAGTAAATTAACCTAAAAAATAACCCACACTGACCACTGTAGTTGCAGTCACTGTGGAAGAATTCATCCTCATAATTCACACCAGAATCACTTAAATTAACACTGAACTGGTGAGGTAAATCTTAAAAAATGCATTCAACTAACTTACCGATGAACAAATATGTAACTTATTTGTGTACCACTCAGCTGTTGATCCTCAAATCCTCTCTGAATTCATGCTGACACTGTCCTTCCTTCTGGAGGGTGGCTACTTTTGTTCCCCATGGTTCCTGTGTGTGTTGCAAAGTAGCCATTACTCCGAGCTCACTCCTGTGATGAACTATAATTTCAATACAAATTGTCTAACTAAACGTGACATTGTAGTCCATCAGGGGACAGTGGTTTTTAACACATTCCCCACACAATCCAAAGCTTAGAAAAACATTTTTGGGCTGGACATAACAGTAGAATAAAGCAACTCTGTTGCTTTACTAAAGTTGATGAAAAATGCTGTACCTTCTAAATCATAAAGCAAATACCAATACTGGTGCCAGTGTTATTAAATGCTGCTCTGTTGTAAACAATTGCTCAGGAAAGTGTTGAAACTGATACCTCCCAAAATGGTAGATCCATCCATCCACTTATCCATCCATCCACCTACCCACTAACCATGGATGTAAATTCCATCCATCTGTGGTGCTGACCTCTGGAATAGGTAGAGCTGACACATCACTCACTACACTGGCGTTTCCTCTTGCAGACCCCTACATAACTACAGAGAGATACCCTCTTTTCTCTGTGATTCTGGCACTTTAAGACACTTAAAGGTTTTTGATCTGACAATGAATGGTGCTGAACGTAAATATATTGGTTAAATTTAATATTTATTTTCTGCTGTTATTTTTGTAGATTTTCCATCACTGCAGTAAATGAGCAAGGAGAAGGACCTGCAGCAGAGGCTAATGTTACCACTGCAGGATCTCCAGGTACAAAATGCAACAGTCTATCTATCTATCTATCTATCTATCTATCTATCTATCTATCTATCTATCTATCTATCCATCCATCCATCCATCCATCCATCCATCCATCCATCCATCCATCTATCTATCTATCTATCTATCTATCTATCTATCTATCTATCTATCTATCTATCTATCTATCAGGACACAGTAAAAATAAAAAAGGGGCACACATACCATTTTTACACGAATGTATTGTATTACAGTTATGTTGTACCAAACATTGTATAACAATTAACTTGGAAAGATTAGACATATTGCACTAATTTACATATCTTACATTGGCTATTACATTTATTACGCAATAACAAGCTTGTGTTTTCAGAGAAAATCAATTAAAAAAAGCTTGGAAAGAATAAAAAAAAAAAAAAAAGATCAGTAATAAAATAGCCAATGATTTGTATCATCCAGTTTCCATGGACAGTGGTACTATAATTACGCACCAGCTGGAGCATTGTTTTTATTTTCATATTTTGCTACTTTTGTCACAAAAGTAACTGTTACATTTTAATTTGTGGGCAATGACAAAATATGCTGAAGGGACATAATCTACATCAGGATGACTGGCCATGCAGTGAACAATGTGTTCTTTGCTCACAACAGTAGAAAATAAATGTCTATTTAGATAGGGAATGACACTTCTTTGGTTCTTTGCGCAGCTCAGCCATGCTAATTAATCAATCGTTACAAAGCAGCCGTATTTATAATCAATGCATGCATATCCAAGCTACCATATAAAGTTAACCAAGATAACAAATCTCACAAATCCTCTGAAAATAAGTGCATAGAATAGCCATGGCAACACCTGTGCATGGATGATGCTCCACTGGATTATTCAATACATTCTGTAGTCTAATACTCAGTAGAGCCTGTACTAGTCTGCAGACACATCTGAGCTTTGAGTGCCAAGACCAATAACATTGACATCCTCAATCTTCTTATCTCATCTGTTTAGATCCAGATAATTCACAGTGGCTTTTTCTGTCCAGAAACAACATTCTCAAAAAGAGGGATAATCTGAAGGAAGTTTTGCATGAAGCTCAGTGTCTTACAGCACCTAGCAGAATCAGCAGTAAGTGGTGCTTATCCTTTACAGTACTAGAATATGGTTAAAAGCCACATCGCATTGGATACAAAATACAAAGCAAGTCACACACTCTATAAATAAAGCCTTTATTGACATTGGCCATAATATAGATAGATGGTAGACCTTGTCTGTAAATAGATCGAACGCAGAAAGCAAAGTAGGGGCATGTTTTAAAGGGAACCTGTCAAGAAGGAAACATGAAGGATGCCATGCTGACCTCTCCTTCTGAATATACAAGTGGTCTCTAACCAAGAACAAGTATGTTGAAAGGACTTCTTACTTTTACCTTCTGTACCTTGTTGCAGGTCAGTTGTCATTGGCTCGAAATACTGATGGCAGAGGCCTAGCATAACAGCCAAGCAAGTAGCATTTTCAAAAGTAGATCAGGAGTGGCAGCCTCAATATTTCTTTCAGCTCCTCTCTATCCTACCATTTCCTCATTGGAACCTCTTTTCACTTCAGGAGTTATGAGACACCACAGGCAAATTAAGTATGATCAGAACTGTGACTGCCAAACCAGTGTAAAATCTAAGACATTTCAATCAAGAAAACTATAGAATTTATGCAAACTTAAGTAATGATGGAAAATTGATTTCCAGGGACAAATCTTCAGAACTGTCCCTGAAATCCAGAACATCAATGAACTAGAACCTTCGCAGAGGCATAAGACACATGTTTCATAGTAAATAAGTAGTGTGACTGCTGGGTATTGGGATCCACTGTTTAACATTGTTGATTGTTTTCTTCCTTGTTTATTATTTACTTGTTTATTTTTTATCAGACAAAACCTTTTCTTTTTGTATTTCTAGGTGTTTCTGCTAATGTCTACACCCAAGTGATCTACTTTTCAGAGAAGAATCGTATTTGGATAAAAGGAACTGCTAATATGTCAGATAATTCTAACCTTGGCATTATCCATACTGGTTATGAAACCATAACCTCACTATCTGTAGATTGGTTATATAATAAGATGTTTTTCATTATGAGCAGTCAGGTAGGAACTTTTTTATGTAAGTCTCCCTAAGCTGGTCATAAACATGCAAATAGGGTGAGCAAAGTCAACAACTTCTAAACACATGAGCTTTTACTTATTAGCCATATCCTGAAAGCTAATCAACCAAACATATTGAGAGTTCAGTATGGACATATTCTTATGACTAAATCTTCAAATGTATCGTGCTTCACTGGTGCCAAGGCAACTCTGAATATCTGAATATTCTTGCAAGCTCTATGTGTTTCCAAAGGCCATAGATAAATGTAACAATAAAAACAAAACAGAGTGCACTGGATAGTTTAGATAAAACCACTTTATTACATTTAAAATATATAATTGCACTTAAAATTACTTGATCAGGACATTTCACCAAGATAAATCATCCAGAGTAACATCAGATCATGCCAACAGATGCTGAAGCTTTCTCACTTTGTAGGAGAGGGAATGCGCAAAGCTGGGATTACAAGCAGAAATAAAAATACAAAGATGTCCGAAATTGGTATAGAAGAAGGAGGGGGGCGCCAAAGTTGTAACCTTGGTGGAGATAGTACCTAATTTAAGTCTGACATGTTTCTGGGCCATGCTCCTTCTTCAGCTTCTTCAGATTTGGAAACCGTCTCTCTGACAGCTTTGAGGAAACGGCATAGATTCTGAATCCTGAGGTTGTTTCCCCAGTGTCTTAAAGCATCTGGGGTCATGGTGCAAGGTCTCAACCTTGTTACATAATGAGCTTAGAGAGAATGACTTAATGACACATTTCCCACCTTGTTTTATGACAAGAACATCACTGAACCATAGGTTTGTGCTGTGGTGTACAAAAAATAAAAAACAGCATGCTGCAGTTTTAGGGCATAATGTTCATATAATTTGATGAAACAAGTCTTGGAAGGATGTCATTCATGGGAGTGCTTTAAAAAGAAATTGTAAACAGATAAAATGTCACCTGAAATATCACCCAAAACGTATTTTAAAACAAAATACAGAAAATAATAACAATAAAGTAGACTTAACCTTCACAATAAGAGTTCTTAATTTTGTACAGCAATGTAAGTAAGATAAGATTTACATTTTCCCCTTACTTGGTTCATATTCTTTCTCCCTGCACACTCTGTAAGCTCTTTGTATGAACCTCCTTTGAAGTTTGGATGTTCCAGCATTGGCTGAACATCACAGTTTAACTGTGTTGACTATGGTAAAATGTTCCAGTGTACTTTGCATTGGAACAGTTGCTTGTAGTTCAGCTTAGGAATGTTCATGAAAGGGTGACAACCTTGCTGATATGATTTTGCAGAAAGCAGCACATATAGAATAAACGTATTATGCGTTTTGACATTACAGGAATGAGTACTAATATATTTGGCTCAAATGTTTGGGTTTACATACAGTAGACTTTAATGCAGATGTGTTTGTTCATTTGGATATCTTATTCTTTTATTTTAGATATATAGTTGTGATTTATTAAACTGCACAGCTGCTCAGAAGATCCCATTACAGGATGTTTTCAAGCCTAAGAAGATTGAAGTTGATCCATATAACGGGTATGCCTTGTTATCCTTTTTACACAAAAGACACCAATTGTCCCCTGTGAATTGGATTACGTATAAGCAGGGCATGTTGTAAAATGGTCATAAGCGAAACTTTCCTCTCTTTGTATGGATCTTTCAGTCCTCCTTAGTGTATTTATTGAATGGTAATAGTTTAGGGCACATTCAGACTTGTATGTTACAAGAGAGCATCTTGGTCAAGAGCATAAGGCCAATGTGTACATAAAGCTTTTACAAAGTGTTTGCATTTTAGAGAAGAGCTTCAAGCAGCTTTTTAAAGATTTTGAAGTATCCTCCAGCTCCTGTTTGTAGATGTTAACCACTGCTCATAATGTTAGTGCTGGCTGTCTAGCAGGATTCAGGAGGCTCTCATTATACCTCCCAATGTTCTAATATGAGAAAGAGGGATACCTTCCAGCACAACATATTTAGGCAATGGACACATTTATACCATGCACCCAGTTATGCAGACCATTTGGAATTGATATGTCAAAAATGATTGGTTAAACCCAGAATAATTTCAACATTACTTTTCCTTTATATTGGCTTTTCAAATTAGCAAACAAGATAATTAAGATATAAAATTAAGGTTTTAGTGCAGATTAATACTTTTGGTAGTTTAATAGTATTATTTCATAGATATCTGTCCATCAGAACAAAAAGAGGAGAACAAAAAGAGGGACAATCGATAAAAAAGGTTTTGGAAGGATGTCATTCATGGGAGTGCTTAAAAGGAGGAATTGTTAACAAAGACAAATGAAAATAAAAAAACCACAAATGGTTTCAAATGAGGGACAGTCACCGCTAAAGAAGGGACATTGGGAAGGTATGCAGCAGTAAGGTTGAGCGCTATTTGAAACTTGTTGAAAGCCAACTAAATTTTGCTAGCAGCTTGTTTAACCCCTTAGTGACACAACTTCAGAAAATTTTTTTGTTCCTGGCGACCGAAGCAAGTTTGCCATTTTTGCTATGTGTTTGTTTAACCATAATTTCCATCTTCCTCATGCATGGCACCTACACATATTATATACCGTTTTTTTAAAGGACAAATTGGCCTTTAACTACCTCCCGGCCAGCCGCTGTGTATACACAGCCGGCCGGGAGCTTCTTGGATGTAACTGGGCGTGTATACACGTCCTGTTACATCCGCCCTGCGCGAGCGGGAAATCCCCGCTTTTTGAAAAGAGGCAGCGATGCCCGTTAATATACAAGTGAATCCGCCGGCTATAAGGCCGGCGGATCGCTTGTATGAGGCCCCAAGACGTGCGCCCCCCCAAGGTCTCTGCTTCATCAGCTTCTTCAGGGGGGTCCTAGGTGACATTAGGGGTCTTGGAGACCCCTGATGTCTCCATAAAGAGGACCTGTCACCTCTTTTGCTATCACATGAGGGGGTTTCTCAGCCCCCTCTGTGATAGCAATAAAGTTAAGTGGAAAAAAAAATAGTAAAAAAATTTTAAGTTTCCCCCCAATTTTTTTTAAAGTTACACAAAAAAGAATTAAAAAAACAAACATTTTTTTTAAAGTCCCCACCCCTACATACACGCATGTAAACATGCGTCAGGTGCGCATACCTGTGAAAACTACAATTACGCCGCACATGTTACATATCGCCGCGAACGTCGGAATGAGAGCAATAGTTCTCGGGCCATCAATCACTGATAACACTAAACTGATGAGCGGTAAAAGCTTTTAAAGCGTCGCCTATGGCCAATTTTGGGTATGCTAGTTTTTTGCGATTTTGCGAGTGCGCAAAATTTTTAAGCTTGACATGTTTGGTGTCTATTTACCCGACGTGACCCCGTCTTTTATATTTTACCAAAAAAGTGGGTAATATTAGTTGTTTTATAACATAATGTAGAAAAAAACTTTTTTTTTCAAAATTTTCAGTAATTTCTCCTGAATATAGTAAAAAATAAAACCCCAGTGGTGATTAAATACCACCATAAGAAAGCTCTATCTGTCCCCAAAAAATGGTATAAAATTTATTTCAGTACAGGGTTGCATGACGGAATAAATGTCAGTCAAAGTACTGCAGCGCTGAACACTGAAAAATGGCCTGGCCAGGAAGGGGGGGTCGTCTAAACACCTGGTCTTCAAGCGGTTAATTTGATGTGACATAAGCATATATAAATTTTTATTTGTTTTATAAAAAATACAAAAGAGTCAAACAAAAAAAGAAAAACAACCCCACATTTTTCACAGTTTTGGCAATAATAATGTGTACATAATTAGTGTAGCTAACAGAAAGTAATTCATAATTTATTTATTTATATAGCGCCCACAATTTACACAGCACTTTACATAGTGCACATTCACATCAGTCACTACCCTCAATGAACTTACAATCTAAGGTCCCTATCTCACATGCATTCATACGGGGCCAACTTGACCTACCACTCTAACATGTCTTTGGAGTGTGGGAGGAAACCCACGCAAGCACAGGGAGAACACGAAAACTCATTGCAGATAGTGATTTAGCTGGGATTTGAACCAGCGACCCCCAGTACTGCAAAGCAGAAGCACTAACCACTACACCACTGTGCTGCCCATAATAAATTCTATTTTTTTTTTTTTATTTTTACATTTTATGATTTAGCTGGGATTTGAACCAGCGACCCCCAGTACTGCAAAGCAGAAGCACTAACCACTACACCACTGTGCTGCCCATAATAAATTCTATTTTTTTTTTTTTATTTTTACATTTTCTTTTTTAACTAGGGGGCACTAAGGGATTCTTTTTTTTATTTACAGGGGCTTTGATAATTATCATCTCTTTGGTAATTATTATCTCTGAGGAGAATACAGTATTCTCCTCAGAGATGCTTTGTATCACTTTTGTAACACACGGCTGGCTCGCCGATTCACAACACAGTGAGCTTCTGCGAGCTATGTGACTGTCACGGCTCTTTGACCACCTAATCTGCTGTTGAGGGTCTGTCTTGGACCCCGAGGGACCCATCAACAGCAGTAACTCAATGAGGGCTGGTCCCTTCACAGACCAGCGCTCATTGTACCGCATGATGAGATTACGCCGTCACCGGTCGTTAATGAACTGAACGACTGTGACGGGAAAATCCCATCATCAGTTGGGAAAGGGTTGCAATGATAGCCAGAACTCCTCCAACTGGAGCTAAATGTTGCTTTTGGGCCTTTAGTTTGTATAAGAGTAATATGTACAGCAAGCGTTTGTGTAGTATTTCTAAAGTTTTCAGCAAGCTTTGAGCAGCTTTGTTTAAAGGAGAACTATGAGGTGAGTGCTTTTCACTCACCTCATAGTTCTAGCCGACCTGTGACAATGAGACTGTCACAGGTCGGCTCAGTAGATCGGGAGGTGAGCGAACACATACCAGGTTCGCTCACCTCTCGATCCTGTCACGGCTCTCTGACGTGACAGGGGGAGGGGCTGGATTCCCCTCTCACCGCTCCGATCTGCCAGCGCTGACTGGCGGAACGGACGGGGGAGACGGCGTGTACCGCTGGCTCTGCCTCTAGATAGGCAGAGCCAGCTGTCACTCACTCAGCTGGGCGGATCACGTCATCTAAGTCGGGATCCGCTCCGGCGTCTCAGTATACCGCAAGCTGTAGCTCGCGGTATACTGAGCTTAGGGTAACGGGAGGATGCTAGTTTGTGTCCTCCCGTTACCCTAAGGAGAACTATGGGGAAAAACACTGACCCCATAGTTCTCCTTTAAGCCTTAAAAGAAAACATCAACTCTAGTGTTGGCATGTTAAACATAGATCTTACAGAGAGTTAATGACTGTCACTGTCATATAGGAAGCACGTAGGCTGCAGCTGGTTTTCAACAAGCAGCAAATAGTGCTAAAGCTCAGTGATGCCTGCTAGCAGCTTGTTTAACGTGACAGTTGGCACTTCCATTAAGATCTGCATTTAACCTCCCCAAGCTGAAGTCCAAGCATTCTTTAAAGGCTTCAACAAAGTTGCTCAAAGCTTGCTGTATACACTGCTCTTATACAAGGTGTGTGAAGGAGGCCTCTATACTCCAAGTTACTGGTTAAAGCTTCTTGAAGCTTTGCAAATACTTTGTAAAGCTTACAGTACACACTACTTTTACAAAAGCTGAAGTTCATGTGTACAAAGCCCTAGAAGCAGGACAACATAAATAAATGTTATTATTTAACTGCTCTAGGAACCTTTATCTTTGCTGGCTATGTTTAAATATTAAGTGGGTCTTTAAATTTTAGCACAGCAATATTCACTAATATATATATTATTTTTATGGTAGGTACTTGTTCCTTCTCCTGGATGATGGAATTCACAGAATGGTCCTCCCTGAATCTCAAATTGATAGTAATGCTACAGAGCATATTGTAAATAGCATTGCCATACTAGACTTCGTGATCAGTGTTCAGTCCAAGAGGCTTGTTTTTCTGAACAGCTTTAGCCCTGGGATTTTCTACCTAATGTCTGTTTTTCTGGATGGAAGTAATGGTCAACGCCTTAGAGAAATAGAAGATGCCTCAATAAAGGAAATTATAAGCTTCCTTTATTTCAAGGACTCCTTGATGTTCACAAATGGAAATATTGTGTTTTATGAAGAATTCATTTCTGATCAATACTGGTACAATGAATATTTAGTAACTTGTGACTTGGCAGCTTCACCATTAACAGGCTTTGATAACATGAATTTGTATGGAAAGTCTACCCAGCCTATTCCTTTGCCTGGCAGCCCTGAGCAACTGATGGTAGTGTTTGGTCCTCAGTCTGCTGAAGTTCTATGGAAGCCACCAAAACTGACTGTTGGGGCCAGTAAGTTTGATATATGGTTACAGCCACAATGTAGTTAATGTATTAAAAATGCAGCGTGGAGCAGGGGAAATGTTGCCCACACCAACCAGTCACCTTTTATTTTCTAAGCTGCAGGGGGACATATTGGACTAAGATTTTCATTGCTGACTGTATCCCCATTGGGTGGATTTAACCACAGTTTCGGGAAGATGGTAACAAAACCACATTTCACATGTCTTTCTGTCTAAGCGTCACTCCCCTCCATTTCTTTTATGGGTGCCACTGAGAGAAATACAAACCGGGCAAAAATGTTAACCCTTGCCTACTGTTTAAAAAAAAAATATGTCTGAAGTTAGTGATCTGTGGAATTTTCAAATTCTATAGCAAATAAAAAAACAGTAATCTGGATGGTGACTGCAGATAAAACAATTACAAGCAACTGTGTACAGAAAATCCTAATTATATTCTAAAAGTTAACAGCTTCATGAATCTTGTCAGTTGATGGAATACACCAAAAACTTATGCTTTTTTTGTTTGTTTTTTGAAGGTGCTGCTTCTTGGCAGAGGTGGACATACAGTGTTTCCATATCATTGGACAAACTAGGGATACAAAAGGTCTTCACTAATATCACTTTTACAAGGATGGTGGTGGCCAATCTAAACATTTCAACCAAGTATGAGATAACTGTAAGGGCATCGTCACCTGCTGGGGATAGCCAGTGGACAACCCCTGTGGAAGGAACCACGTTAGATGCAGGTATATTAACAATAAAATACTGTGAGAATATGGCAGGTGTAAAGAGTTTGGGTGGAATTATTTCTTTATCCTTTATGTTAGTCATTCATGCAGCAATTCCCTGACAATTTCAACCACATTCAACTGGCTTTCAACCTTCAAAATAATTAAATGGATCAAGGCACCTTAACAACAGTGAAGAGTTAATCAACAGTTCATTTATTTCCATTTATGTGTGTATATGGTGGTAGGTTGCATTGATCAGTTTAATTTTCTTCAGGTCAGCAAATCAAAATAATATTAATTCCAACTGATTGGGAAAGGAGGCATGATGTCATTGCATCTAGTCCGACTTTCTGTACACAGGCATCGCAAATTCAGCTTCTAAAAGTAACTTCTATCTAGAGATTGCTAGAGAACTATGACATAAGAAAGGGGGCAATAAAACCCTTAGGACAACCTTTAGGTGCAGGCATTGTTTAATTGGATAGTAAAAGGAATAGCATGGGCCACTTTGAATTCAAGGAGTTGCATTACTAGATTGGCTGAGCTATATAGTGTGCATGTTGATTGCATTAAAGGGATCTTTAGTCGTTAGTCTAATACCCAAGATAAGATGATAATAGTCTGTCTATGGATTACCATATTCCAAAATGAGAAGGGTGAAAGGGCTGTCTATGGGTTACCATATTCCAAAATGGGAAGGGTGGAAGGGGATCTCAAAAATAATATTGATCAGCTTGTAAATTTCTGGCCAGTTGCCATTGTTCGCTAACATAAATGCAATCTCAACAGTCCATAATATAAGCACGTTCATAAGATGTTGAGGAAAAAAGGATTATTGGGGGGAATTTATCAAAACGGGAGCAGACAGAATCTGGAGAAGCTGCCCATAATACAGTTTACAAAAAAAACCCAGCATATTATAAACTGCGGACCCAATAAATGAAAACACATACATGAAAAAAAAAATGTAAGCTCAATTCGCGGCAAGGATAAAACTGAATGAAAATAGCGCCCCACACCACATAAAATATAATGCTTGTTTTTCAAGAGCATAATCTAGAATGAGTATTACTTATCTAACTTCATGGTCCTGCAGTCTTCCTTCCTGATGATTTTGGTTGTGTGACCAGCCCTTGAAGCCAATCTTCTTGCTGGTCCCTGACCAGTCTTAATGGCTTTTTTTCTTGTCGACATTATGTACAATGCAGGACCAGCAACACTGTCCTGTACAGGGGTTTTATCCAATTCCTACTCTACAAAAAAATGTTTGCCTATAAATATGCATGCCAGAAACTGGTTTATATGCACATGTATAATAATATGTACAATATTTTCCAGTGGAAGAAGAACTCTATTTCCTAGCAGTAGGCACTGATGGTTTATGGAAACAACCATTGGATAAGTTTGGTCCTCTAGAAGTGGTCAACAAGAACCTCAGATTTGTGTCAGGTAAATGTTTTTCTTCAGATTGTAATTCAGTTTTATTAATTTTACTGTGTTAAGACCTTAACTTCCATTCATTTTACAGCTACTTGTTCTAGATGCACGATGCATGCTTGCTTTGACTGCTCAAAGTATTATGCAGACCTTGCAAGGAGTTGGTTATTGTGCGCCAAAAGTGAAAAAATGTACATCTACATCTGCTTTTATCTATGCTGTCTTCTACTTGTAAACATTTATAAAAGCAGGGAATTACCTGTCACCCAGAGGGATCCTCCGGTCAGTCTGCTGATTTCCAGCTATTTCTACCTGTCTGCTGCAGCTGACGTAGACACAGCCAATCAATGCCTATACCTTATTGGGCCAGACCTGGAGGGAGACCGCTCTGGGTGACAGGTATTTTCCCAGGCTTAATAAAACCTTACAGGTAGCATGGAAAATATTAATTCTTACCCCTAAAACAACTTGTTTTCCTTCAGTCCCTTCTAGTATGAAGGTACATAGTCAATTCCACAAAAAGGAATAGTACACAATGGGGGAGAATTTAGCAAAACTGGAGCCGAGAAAATCTAAAACAGTTGCCCATAGTAACCAATCAGCTTCTCTCTCCCTTTTGTTCAGTTAAGCTTTGAAAATGAAAGCTAGTTGCTAAATGGTTGCCATGGGCAACTGCCACAGATTTTGTCTGCTCCATTTTGGGTGCTGGCGGTGCATGTTACCAGAGAAAGGGGTTGGGGGTGGTTTGTGCTGGTGGTACAGGTTATGGGTGGGTGCACGGTACCTCTGGCTCCAGCTCTGCCCTGCACCCTACCCAGCTCACTGACATCAGTGGTTTCCAGGAGACGAGCGGGAAGCTTGGCCGGCATCCTGTCAACCCCCTGGCAATGCTGGCCAGAGTGTCCCAGGTTGTTAAGGGCTCTTGGCAACCTGGGACACTCTGGCTGGAGAGGGGGCGGCAAGTGCTTCACCCCACATAACCCAATTAAATGCCATCTGAGGCAACGCCAGAGGCTGCCTCACTATAGGGACGACCCTGGATTTGCCTGTAGATCAGATTTGATTTTAAGTTATTGTAGCTTAAATACATAGTTAAGTTGTTTAAATGTTTCCTAATGCACCGAAACGTGTATTGCTAAGTCTTAATGTGTAACACATAAGTAAAAGGCGGTAGTCAAGATCAATAGCTGTATAAAACCAATCTGAATGCAGGACAGAAAAGCATGCCACCTTTTCTGTAAAGCAAAAAACAGAAACAAAAAACAGGTTTGTCTGCTGAAATGCTGCCTGTTCTTGTTCTGAAACAGTCATCAGTTATCGTGCTATATGTTACTTCCAGATCTAGACTGGTACAACAGCACCCTCTACTGGAGCAATGAGACAGGCCATGTCCACATGTGGAATATCAGTGACACTTCTGAATTTCCCTCTTTGTCCATACCTGGAATTAGAAGAGCTGGACCTTTGTCATTTGATTGGATTGGACAGTACATCTACTGGGCTGACAAAGGGATTGCTAAGGTATGAAAATAATCTTTGTTGATAACAGTCTCACTCTGCACTGGCACTTGTGCAGGTTGTCATTTCGTCTAAATCGCCCCAATTTATCTACCTGTTACTGGCAGATTTGGAAAAAGTATTTATCCTAACCTAGGGTTGTTTAACTAAACACAAATAATCATATGACAC